GGCCCTGAACTCTCCATAGAAGGTGTTTGTGTGAGGAAATGCAGTACTCCGCTGAGAGCGCAAAGGCACTGCCTGTTGAAAGACACGTTGGCCGACTTCATCAGTGTCTCGTCAGACGTGGAGCGCTCTCATCAGCCCCGCATGAACTGAAAACCCTCCGAAGAGCAGCAGCGGGAGTCGAATCCACTGTTGCACAAACATCGCAATGTGTTGTTATGGCTCTGACGAGAGGAGCGAACGTCGCTACTGGGACGGCTACAAAGGGTGCCTTCAACAGCTTCACTTAAAAAAAGAAAAAGAGCCCCACCCTCCACATGATTGACCGGCTAAATCCTCTCTGATAACCGCTTCTGTTGTGGTGCCAAATGCTTTGACATCCAAAATAATCTGAGACGGTATTGGGGAATGATCTGTGGAGCTCGAGGGTTGATGATAATTCATCAAAGGAGGAAACAGGGAACACGTTATTTAAGAAAGATGGGCTTTGATGTGGCAAAGACGAACATGCTTTAGCAATCCAAAATTGTTATCATGAGAAGCTTAGACGAGAGGCCATTACAGGGATTTGAAGGAAATAATGGCGAGTTTGAGGGTGGACAGGTGGATTTTACGATCACAGGTGTGATTCCAGTGCACAGGCTATTACTCTCAGTAGCAGCAGCAGCAGCACCCCCCCCCACACACACACACACACACACACACACACACACACACACAGCTGAGAAGATTATATTCAATTCACTGGAGAAAAACAAAGAAAGAAAAAAAGTAATTTAACATGAACTTCAACTGCAGGAAGAAGTGAAGCAATTCAAAGAAAACCCAACACAGTCATGAATCACGAGCTTTAGTGTGTTTGACCTCAGTCGCTGCCAGATACCGACGCACTCGCAACTCTTCTTGGAACCTCCGTGTTCCCACAATCAGCTCAGGGTGATTTATCTGGAAATTGAATATGTGTGTCCGATTATTAGACTACAGTAAAGTAAAGCCAGCATTTTGCAGCAATGCGTCACTTAAAATGGAAAGTTGCTTGCTCCGCATGTTTAGGAGAAGCTACTACAAATAAGTGAAATATCCCTGATTTAACTGGTGCAACAGTTAAGATTTCAAAGGATATAGTCATCCTAAACTGAAAGGATAAGTCTGGAAAAATCTTAATTACACTTACACCCTTCTGCTGCTGGAGAAACTTATGAGTGCAACCAATGTGTATTATTCCGTGGCTGAAAATATTCCCCAACAAATGCACCATTTCCTCCTGTTTGAGGAGGGTTTGATAAAGACTACAGTGCCCCTGCTGTTTTAGTAATTCAAGGAGTGAGACCTTATACTCAACATGCAGAGACTCCAGGAAGTTACTGTGCCTGGCCAAGAAACAGTCTGGCACACATAACCCATAGTAAAGCTTTTACACTTCCTTTTTTGTGGCTTTTAAACAAACAATATAACGTGTAAATTAGTGAGCTTTGGAGGAGCTGGAAGGTAGAATTTTTTACCCAACTGTTTCCACCCAGGTTCCTGACTTTGTGCTAAGCTAAGCGTATCACCTGTTCCGGTCTTTCAAAGTACTGCAGGACCAGGGCCGCAAACAAATCAAGAATAGAGCAAGAATTTGTAGTTCAGTCCTAAATGGAGCACTACATTTACAGCCGATTCTGTCACAAGAGAGGAGGCATTACCTCAAAAGAAACAGTAAGACAGGGAGCGAGGGGAAGTCTGGATTAGGCTGCATTGTGTACCTTGGGTCAGGAATCTCTCCCAGTATTTCTTCCAGGTTGTCTAGAAACTGGACAAAGTCAGACAGGCCTTTGACATGTTTCCTCAGTGGGTGGGACTCAGCTGGAGCGTAGCCCTTCCCTCCGAGCTGGATGGCCCTCACAAAAGATGTCACAGCCTGCAAAAGCATGAAAGAGACCCAAATGTTGTGCCAGAGAGGATCACTCCAATTTTGCCGTCATAGGTTTGGTTTTTCTCGTGAGGTAACGTGTGAATAAATCATCGGTAAAGCCCGAGCACATGCCGAGTGTGGATGATTCTTACCAAGAAAAGAGAGGTGTTGTTGTCATGTGCAGCGTGCTTTACGTCGGTAAATGCCTGTCGTCCAAGAGCGCGACTGGGGACATCAAGGGTTAGCGCCAAGGCCATGTCGTTCTTGGCGTTCACAAGCAGATTCAGATAGGAGCAGAAAACCCTTCTCACTGCCATTTTCACCTGAAAATAATGAACAGATTAAACATTATTAAATGTAACATCAGAAAACATCACACAACAATTTGTGTAAAATGCTTATTTGTATTATTTCGGAGTGTTAGGTGAGAAATTTGATACCACGCACATGTCAGCTAAATATGAAGCTGTACATGGTTAGCTTAGCTTAGCTTAGCACAAAGACTGGACACAGGCTCAAAAAGCTAGCCTTACTCTGCCCAAAAGGGAATAAAATCCAAGCTAAGCTAAGCTACTGACAGACATGAGAGTGGTATAGGATTTCTCATCTGAGTCACCAGAAAGTGAATCTATGCATTTCCCTAAAAGTCAAACTATTCCTTTAGTAAAGCTTTTGGCAAGTCCAGGTTGTGTTTATAAAACTACTAAAACAGACAGTAGCTTTACTGCTGCAGTGAAACCCCTAAAAACAGCCGCTGACAGCGCATATTAACCTCCAAAAATTACATCACTCTAGCTGGTAATGCAGCAGCAAGCCTCCACTAAAATAAACTCATAAATTCACAAGTGACAGAGAAGAGTGGAGGAAAGAGACTCTGCAACAGAAGCACTTGTCCAGCCTCACACTGTTGTTTTAAACATCTGCCTGGTAATTGAATTCACATTGCGCTCTTAAATCTAATGATATGATATAGAGTTCCCATCAATAAGAGCAGGATGGATTCCAGAGAGAAATTAAGTACGCTGAAGACTGGGAAAGTAAACGCGTGGATTATTGCCAGCAGGAGAAAAAGCATTCTATTTTCCTGAAAGAAAACTTTAGATGAGGGTAGAGGGCAAAGTGGAAAGACAAGTTTCTCATGGTGGTTTATGGAATAAGTTGCACCTTTTTATTAGTGTGTGAAAGCAGGACTGGACCTACCTGTGAGCTGCAGGGTCTGCTTTTACTAGACGGTGTTGATGGGACTGAAGAGTCCGGCAACTCTGACACCTCCCTGTTTCCTGATAAAAACTCAAAGAGCTGGATCTTTGCAAAAGAATGAAACAAGTAATTAGAGAGATACATTGATTGGCCTTATTAGATCATCCATAATCAACATCATCAGTCTGCTTTCAACCGGCTCCTGCTCACCGGGCTCACAGGTTCCCCCGGGTCCGAGTCCACTAGTCTCAGCTTGTCGTACATGGAGAGGATATCAACCAGGTCCACGGTGTTGGAGCGTTTAAGGGAGGATTCGTATGCCTCCAGGATGAGATCATAGTTCTCCAAGCGTGCAAAGTCGGGGGGTGGCAGGTGAAGTTTGTCTAGCAGTAAGTGTTTCCAGGCCATCAGGACATCACTCAGAACCACTTTGAACTCTCCAGCATGCTGCCACAGGAAGAGAGAAAACAGTGAAAGCAGCAGCCATAATTACCGACGGCCTGGAACCAATCAGTTCAAAAGCAGAAAAGACCTTCTCCGACAACGGGCCATGAGCGGTCTCAGCCGGAAATCTGTGTTAATGTCATCAGTTATAGACGTGATGACAGTCAGCCTGATGGTTCAATTGAATTATGCCACGATGAAGATGATGATGATGATGATGATGATGTAAACTGGGTTTGTTTCGCTTGCAGCGGGAAGCCAGAGTACAATCCCATTGTTTTATTACTCTTCCATCAAAAGTATTTTTTACTTTTTATTTTATTTGTTGGTTTACATTCCCTGGCAAGGTGATGTTAGACTCAGCTCTAAAATGAATAGCACAGCGCAGAGATCACTCACAAAGCTCATTACTGAAGAATTCCCCAAAAAAGGCATTCATCAGAGGCCACAGTACAAGTGGTCGGTTTGCTTTGTGTACAGATAAATGTACTTTTTGACATTATGTGTAATATTTGACTGTTTTCTGAGCGTTCGCATGCACAAATTGTTCATAAGGGATGAATAAAGTTTTTTAAACATAATCCAACTGAAGAGAGGCTGTTTGAATAAAAGCAGTGAAGCGTTACCTGCTTGCTGACTTCTGCCATGGCCAGCTGCAGCAACATTAGCATGCCATCAGCTCCATGAATGGAGGTCCTCTCAGAGGGTAAAACCCTGCGACACTCTCGCCTGAAGAGTTTAACCATCACTTTTAGACGATCTCCCAAAGCCTCCATTTCCCCCTAAAACAACAGTAAAGGAAAATCTGGTTGATAAACAAAAATAATGTTAAAAAAAAAACAGGTTTTACTCCACACAGATGGAAAAAAACATTTAAATGAAATTTTTTTTAAACATAAAAAGTAATTTATTAACAGATTATAAGGAACAGCCTTCCATTTTCATTGAAAGGAAAACTTTCAGATTCGTTGACCTCGGTGGCTTAAAGGAAACTTAACTTACTGTTTATTCCCAAAACATGTCTTTATGTCAGCGCCCACAAGATGCGTTAATATAACTAAGAGTATAATATGTTTATGGCTACATCAAATCACAGGCAATGTTAATTCAAAGGTGCAAACCTCTAATGTTGTAGTAGTCTCCGAGAACACACGTCCACGAGAATAAAGCAATTGTTTTGAATTTTTAAACTGACGATGACGTTTATTGCCTTCGGCCAATCAGTTTTCAGTACACAACAACGGGAGAGGTTGACTAAAAAAGCATTTCTCTACTGCATTAATCTTTTATAGTTTTGTAGCAGAAGTCTGTGAAGAGATCTTTAGCATAAATAATTCTTCATAGCGCAACAATATGCCAATATATTGGCGAGGTGGGTTAGATGTTTTCCTTTACGTTGCGCGAAATCCCCCTTGACATTTGTACTCAATGGTACAGTCCATGACGTCCCCGGAAACAGCTTGAAAACATCTCAAACGCGCGCACCATTTGATTCAAGGAAATTCTTGAAAATAAAGTGGTAAAGTATATCAGTCTGTGCTGCGTTTTGACTCGAAATACACTCTCATAACCCCGGGTAAGTATTAAGCTCTTGGTGGGAGCGTTAAAGTGTTAAAACGGGCAATATAAATCTTTGTTTGCTAGCTAGCGGTGCACATGCAGATAGCAGTCACGTTTTAGCTCTTTGCCCAAAACACATGATAGTGTTATGTGTATTGTGGTAATATCGTTATAACCCCTGACTTTAGCTGATTTCTTCATACCAGCCTACGTTAGCTCAATGCAATGCCCAATGTTGTTTAGTATCAACAACGGTGATCTTCTAACTTAAGGCTAATGCTTCTCTGTCCTCCCTTGTTCTGAGGTATTACAGTTGACTCTCTGGTCTGAAGCCAGCTCTACCAGGACACCCAGCATGCAGGAGGACTCTAGCCGCAGTCCCAGTTACACGGTGACATGTGAGGACTACGTTCATGTGGTCGAGTTCAGTCCCTTCAGCTCTGGTACCCCTGCCTCTCTCCTGGCCTATGGTGGAAACCAGTATGTGGTGGTGGGCACCTGCCAATTCCCGGTTAGCGTTGCAGCCTCACACAACCTGGTGTAGCAACTATAATCCCCACCTCTTTTCTGAATATAAGCATGTTCCCACAGGAGGAGGATATGGAGATCGAGGGAGTTGAATTCAATGTACTTCGAGCTTTCCATCACGAATTGCGTGTTGATGCTCTCGCCTGGAGCCCAGAGTCGCGGCTGGACAGGATACCAACTATCAGGTACAGCTTCTTTGTTTCCAACACTTTTTTGTTTGGTGATATTGAATCTCCACCAAGTTGCATGGTGCAGGACAGTATGGTGGCAGTGTCTGTCTGTCTTGAGTTCCCATATAGCCAGACCTATCTCCAGAGAGCTCTGGCTCCACACATTATCATTCTGGAAAGACCGCTCTGGCTTATATATCTTTCAACCAATTACAATCATCTTGCTCCGAGACGTTCGTGGCCATTGCCAGATTTAAACCCGCAATCTACATCTGGTGAGTCAGACTAGTTTTGGAATTCCTTCTTGCATAAATTGTTTCAGCATCAAAATTGCATTGTATGCACATTAAATGGATTCACTGTAAAATATGCAAATCCAGTATGTTACACGATACAAAACACATCACTACTTGATGGACAATACATACTACCAAAGGTCGCTCCTAACTGATCGTAAACACGGTTGCGTTCCTCGTTGTACACTAAGTGACCACAGTCACTTAGTGTACAACGAGGAACGCAAGTTAAGATGTTTGCCGTGTAGATCATTTCATTTTGTGGTGAGTTTGGCGGTCCCTCTGGACAGAAGTGGTAGTGTTTCCTAACACCAGAGTCCCTTTAGAAAACCTCATTTTCTGCTGCTGCTGCCCTGCACACATATGGCGGTTACAGACACTCTGACTGGTTACTTTTATCCAATGCAACTTCCATTGTCCTTCCATGCACATGCATCATTTGGGGGGCTCAGTGTCTGACTCAAGAACACTTTGACATGTGGAAAAAGAGGAGTCTGGGATCAAACCACCAACCACCATTCGATGGTCATGGCCCCCCACCAGCTAAGCCGTCCATATATGATGTGAAGTGGTTCTGACACATTTGCAGAGTCATTAATCCGTTTAAGCAATGATGCTATTATCACATCTGGCTGCTTTTAATATAAGATATGTTTATGGTGGGATATCTGCGGCTCTAGTGTCTCTCGGTGTGTAAGTGTCATTCTTCACTCCAACATCAGAACCCTGACATCTGTGTCGTTAAACACAGCCGTATGAATATTCACAAACACTCGTCTATTGACCAGAACAAGAGGCAGTTGTAGAGAAAGCACAGCAGCGGTCACGGTTGTGTGAAAGTAGTCATCACCGCCTCTCGCTGCCAGGATGTGAGCAAAGTTATTTCAGGTGGCCTCGGACAGGAGGGAAGTAGCCGAACTGTAGATTGTTAGAAAGCAAGAGTTCCCTCCTAATTGGAACGTCGGATGGGTGAGGTCCCACAATCCCCCCAGAGGTGTTTAGGCTTTCTGTAATTGTAAAGGAAAAGCAGCGATAATTCCTGGCCTTCTGCGGTTTACTCCACAGGGCCCTCGAGCCAGCGCTGTGACGTGCGCACATGTTATTGCGCTGATGACTGCCCACTCGGGTTCCATCCCTCCCTTCGATCTGCACGTAGCCGTGCCTTCCAGGAAAAGTACAGCGTTCTCACGGGCTTGCCTCAAGCAGGGGCCCAGAGAGTGAGAGTGAGAGTGAGACGAGGGGAGGGGGGCTGCTGCGCTGCCACCACCACAGTGGCTTGTGATGGGAAGATGTGAAGACCACATAACAACTAACTTCCACCAAATACGCAGATTTTTCAGTCTTTACAGTCAGAAACGAGCACTTATTGAAAAAAACCATGTAATTTCAGCATTTACTTGCTATCTACAGATCTGCAATGTTATATATCATTCGAAGCAATCCAATAAATCAGATTTAAGCCCACCATTTGTGCTCTAAATATACACATTTACTGCTCGTTAAAGAACAAAACACGTGGCTGATCGCAAAGACAAAGAGTTTGCCCCATCTGACAAGAAACAGCTTTATTTTATTAATAATTACGTTTTGGTCACATAATAATCCCTCTCAGAGCAGATTTGCTTAGCGTACAATATATAAAGTGAAGAAGAGCTCTTGTGGTAAGAAACTGTTGCATCTGCTATTTAAAAGTACAACTGCAGGGATTTTCACAATGGAGGTGAAAGGAGGGAGGATAAGAACCCTCACCGACTTCCCACCCGCTCACACGGCCAGCTGGGTTTGGCAGCTACTAGGATTAAAACCCTCTCTGGGCAAGAACTTCACACCTGCACTAACTGTGTGACCCGGCTTTTATACACTTATATTTCACAAACAAGATATAACGTGTTAATTATCGAGCTTAAGAATCTGCTGCGAGGCTGATTTTTGAACTTCAGACAGAGCCAGGCTAGCTGTGTCCTGTCTTTATGCTAAGCTAACTAGCTGCTGGCTGCAGCAATATTCTCCTCCAGAAAGCGGAGAAGCATATTTCCCATAATTCTGAAATATTCCTATTTGATATTGCAATGTGTGTAGCTGAAAACTAAACTATTGTAAAAGAAAGAAACATTAAGCCCATTGCATAACATAACTTTCAATTTGAGATGTTTTGGGGGAAAACAATGTGGAAGTATTCAGAAGTCAACTGAAGACGTCCCACACTTGAAGATAGCTCCTCTTCTTACATCCAGGTCTCTGGGTTCAGGTGTCCTCTGCGGTGACATCATCTAGGAAAGAATAAACTCATTTGCGTCTCGTGCTAAAACAATAATCACAGTAAAGCTGAAATGAACCGGTGCTCAGATTCACTGCTGTTTCCCTTTTCAACAGCGACTTTAACTGTAGATTGTTGGAGATCAATAAAGAAAAGGGCCTTGACATTTAAAGTAAAACAAAAAAAAGAGAGGGAATGAGTTCCATGCTTTCCTCCAAAGAACAGCACTAATTTGCATGGTTAGAAGGCCAATCCTAATATAATCTAATCTCCTGGAGCAGTAATACCCCAAAGCACGTTAAGGGTGTTTGTAGTGACATCGTGCCAAATCCATCTGTGCCTGCGACTGAAAATGTGTGAACCGCTGTCTGTTTATTCTGCTGATATGTGTGTGTTTTTCTTGTCATAAGTGAGTTAGTGTAATTGTGTGAATAATTGCAGGCGCTGGTGTATACTGCGACTGATTAGAGGGGAAAGTCCTCTGCCCGGCTTCGCACAAGCTCTTCAACAGAGGCCTGCGCAAATGGCGTGAGGGATCCTGTTTTGCTCCGTGTTTATCTTAGCTTGCAATTAGAATCTCCCTGGCAGCGTTTCTACCACACACACACTCGCGCTCTGATCCAGAGGTGTCAGTCCAGGCGGCTGCAGGCGAGCATGCAGGAAGAGACGCTGTCTGTCACTGCTTCTGTACAGTCCGACTCCGTTTTGATATTCTCCGTTTTTGTTTAATTTTATATCCTCTCTTCCTCTCTCGTTTTGCAGATTCTGCACCGCTGCAGCTGACAGAAAGCTACGCCTGCTGACTTCTGATCTCCAGGATAGGCATGAAGTCAAGGTAGTGCAACATCTGGAGCACATTGGCCAGAATTGCGCTTGTCAGTTGGCATCAAACGTTCTCTTAGCACTGACATTTGGTACTAAGTGATGTAGGAAATGTAGGCGCACACACAGAAAGCAGAGCTGCAGCCAGTGTAGTAAAGAAAATGCTCATTGAACAGTTGAGTATTGATCATGTGTCTGCTCCTTTTGTTTACATTTAGTTCTTCTATGATGTTTCCTAGGTGATGGAGGGCCACACCAGCTACATTAACCAATTGGTGTTCGAGCCCACGGAGGGGAAACAAATTGCTTCCGTCAGTGATGACCACACTTGCAGGTCCAAACCGTTTTGTTTCTGTGTGTGTGTGTGTGTGTGTGTGCGTGTGTGTGTGTGTGTGTGTGTCTGTGTGTTTTCCCAGCTTCTGATTTTCAGTTCTGTTCTCTCCTAATGGTGCAGAAAGTCCTGACTGTGTTTCCACAGTGAAACTTGATGCTAAGCACAACATGCTCCGGTGTGACTGTGCGTAAGCACAGAGCTGCTTTGTAGCTTTTCTAGCTAATTGGTTAAATATGGAAATCCAATTAGCTGCAGAAAGATTTTCCTCTCTAAGGGGGACCTATAACAAAGTCCCCAAACTTTCCTTGTCAATTAATGCTAGAGAAGGGAAAATGTGTGTCAGCAGCCAGGGTCACCCACCCCCCCCACCCCCTTCATCAGCAGGCTGGTTCTCCTGCAACATGCAGAGCTGTTTTGCAGTACTGGGCCCTGTTGTTAGATTGTTTTTGTACAGTAAGTCTTCTTTTTAAATACTTTTCGACTTGAACCAAAAGTTGCACTGCAGGTGAAGACTTGGCTATTTTCATTGCCATTTAATCGTTGTTAGAGAAAGATGTTTGAAAATAGTGGGAAAATGGTGACATCTTCAAATGACTTCTTCTGTCTGATCAACTGTCCAAAATATTCAGTTTACAATTAATCTCTTTGGGCTGTCACTTAAAACAAAAACAATTCTTAGTGAACCAAACAAAATGCACAATTTATTCCAAAATCCTCCTGACTGCACATGACGCATAGTCATAAACGAGGTTAGCATCCACAGCCAGGCGGCCACATCGGTGCCGCCAGCTTCATGATTGTGCCGCCACAGTAGCCTGACTCTCCTCCGCTCCCGTCCACTCTCCTCTGACCCTGCCACCGCTGACCGGCCAGAGAAAACAGTGAGTGCGCTCCATCTGCTGAAAGATTTAAATTCGGTCATGTTGAGAAAATATGGGATGCGGGAGGAAGAGCGGGGCGGAACAAGGGATAGATCAAGTTAACGGGAGAGGACCTTCCAGTCAGCCCACACAAACTGAGCTCCGATATGAGAGGAGGAAACTGGTCCTGCAGACAGACGGGGAGGGAGGGAGGGGAGTGTTTGCCTGCATGTATATATGCTCATGACCTCTCCATCGCTCTGTTGGGTTTGGCAGCAGAGCCTCTACTATAAGTTTGCTTAGCTTTGTCATCACGGCCCCCTGCAGTTGTGGGAAGTTGGCCGTTGCCAACGTGGAACCTGACGCTGCAGCGTCTAGGCGGGGATCCGGACTCTACTCCCTCGGGGGAGTTTGCGTTTGGTTCACGGAGTCTAAACGGCTCTCGGTATTGGTGTGGACGAAGCCGGCCGAGTCTGTGGGGAAATGTGCCACCTAGAGGTCACAGGGGCACTCTGCAGGATCCTGAGGGGATTTGGGGTTGACTGAGTTCGCAGATGAACTCGGGACCGAGCACACCTGCTGCTGCTGCTGCATGATGTATATGGTTTAAAGCATGTTGTCCTGTTCTCAGCGATAATCTGGAGGTTTATTTTATGTTGTGTAATGGAGACTTATTACAACAGCTTGATATCTCAGCCTCGCCTCCGACCTGACGAAACCCTACAGCCACATCAGATGAACTCCAGTCCCCCGTCAATAGATTATACACTGCATGCTGTTTTACACTGTTGGTTATGAAAAGTAGATTATTTCTCACAAAATGAAGTTGTTGGTGTGAGAGAAGCTGGATGTTTCAGCCATTTCTTTCAGATATGTTTCAACTCTTACGGTATTACGCTTACGGCGAGCGCTGCGGACAGCAGCTGCTAAACGGGCTGTAACAACTTTTAAAAAAGCAGATAATGTTAGATTGTCCAAATCAAATGTTGAGCTGGTCCTGTAGAAACGGATGCTGATGCACACACGGTGCACCTCGAGCAGAGCGACCCTGTGACACCCTGTGATGGGATTATATCGTCGGACTCTTCCAGTTCTCCCCCTCCAGAGAGTCACCCCCGATTATTTACTCTGCTCTCGACAATAAATCAGATCACGCAGCTCTAACGGCATTTCCCGTTTCCTCCACTTATGGGAAACATTGACAAACCGTGACGCTCCGGCCGCACTGTTTTCTCACTTAGATGACACAATACAGGACTTCAGATGTCCTTTTCAACTCTGTTGTACATGGAAGCCGAGTGTTATTGCTCGATGTAGTGTTATGCAATTACACAGTGTTTTATCAGAGGCGGTCACGCGTGTTTTCGTGTCTCATGTCTTTCACCTCGTTTGGCGGCGGTTGTGTTGTTTTGGGGAGACGGTGCTCTCCGTTTGAAGGGCAGAGTGGTTGACCACAGTTTGGCCGTTGGTGGTGTAGCGTGCAATTGAGCTCTGCTTGGCTAGTGGTCTGAAAGAATAGGGTTTAGTCGTTGTTTTCCTGGTGTGGTCTGGTTCTTTCCCCCCCACCCACCTCAACCTCACTCATGGCTACGTCTGCACATGGGCAAAGGAAAGAAGCCCAGAGTTTCGCCGGGGCTCCGTCCTGCTGCAGGGGAGATGAGGCAGGAAAAGTTGAGTTTACTGAGGTCTTCATCTGAGACGGGCGTATCCTCCTCTTCACCGCACCGCGAGGACATCGATCTCTCCAACAACACACTTGACATTTAGATGGTCTTTGGAGGTACTGTTTGGGCTTTATTAGATGATGTCTTCTGCATGACCTCATCAGTCAGCGCCTTCCCATGCTTCACAAGCGTTTGCTTTATATTCCCAGAAACACTTGCACCCCCCCATCCCCACCTTTTCTTCTCGTTCGGGGATCGGTCTCATGTGGTTAACCATAGATCCAGGTCTCAGGACCCGCATTCTCTCCATCCAAGTGCTTCATTACATCCGTGGTCTCTCTCAGCTGCTTTTGCCATCACGGGTCTTATTAAGCTTTAGAATGGCTATTATTTCAATGACGATTGGTGGTAATCCTCACACGAGCTTTAAATCTTGGTTGGCCTTTTGCTCTTTCATTTGCACAAAGCGGGATGCTGTTGGACTTTCCTTCGCTGCTCTTCTTCAACTCACTTGCTGCCCTCTCTGTACTCCGCAGAAAATGAATGGCAGCGTGCCGCCCACAGCGAAACATTTGCTGTAATGTGAGTGGAGCGTAACGCCGACTCTGGAGAGGGTGGTGCCCCCCCCCCTGCTATCATAGCTCAATGTAATGAGAGTCTGGCGTTTCTCCCTGAAAGAGGAGTCCAGCATGAGTCTGTCTTCACAGCTCGGGGCCCAGGATCTGAGAAAAGAGCCCCTTTCCCTGGAAACGCACAAAGAACCCTGCACATCCCTTTGGCACAACACGCAGAAGTTGGATCAATTAGGAGCAAACGTGACGTTCATCATTGCCCACGTTGTGCGCCATAAAAGCCTCAAAATCGTGTGGCTTGTATTGAAAAGTTGAGCTTGAATTCGGTCAAAAGAGCAACGGAGAAAGAAAAACAGAAGAATATTTTGGTATGTGAGGAAACTTGTGAGGCTGTTAACATTCAGGCCACCTGGACAATGAACTATGTCACCTTGTTGTGGATCCAGCACCACAAAGAAGGGAATCTTGGGAAGGTGAACCCTCTTCAGGTATTATGTAAGCCTCTCAGGGTGGCTCAAACGCCGAGGCTTTTGTTAGAAGTGCTGTAAAACCCCGTCTTTGTTGTTAATTAGGAGGTAGTGGATTCTGTTTTGGATTTGAGGCCAAGAGCGGTTCACACATCAAACCGTATTAACACTAATGAGAACTGATTAAAAGTCCTGTTTACTTCCTTCACAATAACATGAGAACTATTGGAGTTTTTGCAAAGAATTCTCGCTTTCAGTTTAAAAAAAATAGTTACACTTGTAAAAGTTAGCAAATATGATGTTTGTGCAAAAACACGAAAAGCACGCTCTGGTCAATTATATTTGAATGCTGGTCTTCATTCCTCTCTACAGGGTGTGGGACCTGGAGGGAAATGCAAGCTCTACTCTCAGACTTCGCTCTCCTGGCATCAGCGTGTGCTGGCACCCAGAGGAAGCCTTTAAGGTAGGAGGGCTTTGTTTCAGATTCACTCTCAGGTTTAGGGCCGCGACTAACAGCACGGTAATGTCTTGTTTTGTCACTCAGAATCTAATTTATAGAATATTCAGTTTAATGTGATGTAAAACAGAGAAAGTTGAGAGCCTGAAACTGCATTTTCAGTGTAACTTTAGGTGAAGTGTCCAAATCTCAAGTGGCCATTAGATAACCAGCGGATCCAGATGAGTCCTTGATGTAATCTAGCAAATGTAATGCCATGAGGTCAAATCAGCCCAATTAAGATTCTGCCCAACTATAAAATGTGAAATATCCTCTAATGAATCATTGTCTAGTAGAAGCTTGTCCTAAATGCTCAAAATAAACCAGCTATCGGTGTGCAAAACTCACGCAATTACGTAATTAAGTAATGTCAGTTTCACAACTCTCGCTCTCGGCTTGAAGCATACTGAAGCATACATAATGGAGTACAACTTTCCCTGACATGGGACATGGATTCTGGAGACGCACCCTGAACTATAAATATTGTTTTAAACGACCCGTCTGTCCCCTCCAGTTAATGGTGGCAGAGAAGAAGGGAACGATTCGCTTCTACGACCTGGTGACCCAGCAGGCCATTCTGTCTCTGGACTGCGGTCAGTCGCCTCTCATGTCGGCCGACTGGTGCCTCACAAACACGATCAAAGTCGGCGCCGTGGTGGGAAACGACTGGCTCATCTGGGACATAACTCGCTCCAGGTAACTGGGGGTGGGGTCATCGAATATTGATGCACGATGTATTGGGTCATTAGAATGGGATGTGCTTTACACCTTCTTCTTGTTTGTTTGCAGTTACCCACAGGAAAAAAGACCAGCCCACATAGATAAAGCCCGGTTATTCAAGTAAGAAATATTTCTCATTCCTATGGCTCTGCGCAGCTGGTCACTGGAACCTCACAAAACACATTTCTGGCAGGCAGCAACCTCGGGATCGCCCAAAAAACACTGAAATGACCCTACTCCTCTCGTGATTTATTCCCTCAGTAAACATGAGTTTATGGTCTCAATCTCTAGTTTCAAAGTCTTCTTCAATACAGCATGATGTTCATTTAGTAACTTATGATTCATTTAGAGTCAAATAGACCATAAAGCAGGGGACGCTTTAGGGCGGGGCTACACGGTGATTGACAGGTTGCTACCGCGGCGGCGTCCAGTCCGTGTTTTTGTTTCACAGCTTTAACTTTTTCAGTGTGTTTTCAGTTCATCAAAGTTAATTATGACATTATGGTCGCCTAAAGTTGTCTTATTCAGTGTTCGGTTGTCCTTCTCACGTCTGGTTGCAAAAAGCAAAGATGGCGACGATGAAATTGCCGAACTCGAGGCTTCTTCTTCTACTCCTCATATATGCTCTATGATGTTTTGGCCACATGCTAGAATTCATATGCTAACAACTGAAATTTCACACAGATGTCTTATAGAATAAAGTGATGAAGTGATTACATTTTCGACAGACATGGATGTAAACTGCACCTTTTTTTGACGTAGTTTAATTGTGCGATGACATTTATATGTTGCCCCTCCCCTCAGGTGGTCTCGAGCCAATGAAAACCTCTTTGCCACCACTGGATGTCCGGGAAAGATCTCCAGTCAGTTACTCATCCACCATCTTGGCCACCCACAGGTGAGCGGGGATGCTTTTCACCGGTTTTTAATGTTCTCCACGGCTCCAGTCTCACATCCCACCCTGATGTCGTTACAGCCGGTGATGATCGGATCGGCCGCAGTGGGATCGGGTCTCAGCTGGCACCGGACACTCCCGCTCTGCGTGATGGGAGGCGACAGGAAGCTTTGCTTTTGGATGACTGAAATGTAGATGTCTGTACAGCACTTTCCATGGTGGACACAGTCGAACTAAGCGTTTCTATTCTAATAAATGTCCAATAACAATAAATATTTTTCTGAGTATCTGCTGAGGCTTTTATGGTGTTTGATGGATATTGGCTGCACGCTTGAGTTTTGTTCTTTTTCAAATCTGCCCACCAATTCAGGTCGGCTACAGATAAACGGCGGGCTGGTCGGGTTTCTTTTCTCTTAAGAGTAAGTTACGTCAGCTTTCTGTTAAGTCCTGCCAAGACTTCAAAGGAATGCACCGAGGCTCCAGCGCCAGCTCTCCACTCAACATGATCATCGTACTACAGGTGTTCTCTCTCTTGGCTGTTTCTCACTTTTCTTTACTATCAATGATCGACTGAATCAGATCAATAAAATGTTCTTTTGTACGGGCCGTTCCACCTACTGTGGAGCGCCGAACATCCACAGAAAGGTCGGGATGAGGTGAAACTAGGAGGCCTGGCCGCGCTCCAGCTGTTGGACAGACCCTGAAGGGGAGGCCGGGGTTGTAAGCGTAGATCATAGGAAAAGCTTTGGGAAGTAAGGGAGCCATTTCAGGTCAGCTCCATGGCATGCAATGTGAGCGGTCAATGAGGATGCAGGAGGAGGAGACGCATCACCTTACCTTGGTGAGTAATTATCAATGCAGACCAAACATGGAAGACAAAGGATCATTTGGCAGGATCTTGTAATGCCCTCCTGTAAAACAAGGTACTCATTGTACTAGCACAGGAACGTCTTGTGTGAGAACCCAATGTCTCCGTTTTCAGACGCCCGCTGAGCAGCAAAGGGCACTCGTTTAATTAACTCGATCATGAATCATTCTAGGTGACAGCTGATCACTTGTTTCCACAGGTGTGCCTGATCTTACCTGTTCATAACTGGGTGTCAAATATATAAATATATATATATAAATATATATAAATAAATAAATATATATAAATAAATAAATATATATAAATATATAT